CAAAACGGAGCTTCAGAGTTTAAACTGACCAGAACGAACAAAGTTGCTTCCTGCAAAGGCTCACGTGCCTTTGCTCCTCCTTTATGTTCTATGGGAGGGGCCAATCATCTCCAAGCCTTACTCCCCTTTTGTCTTAACTGTTCTTGCCTTCTGGCAGCTCTGCGCATGCGCGCACTGGGAACAGGCTCCCTCTGTTCCTCTGCCTCGCTGATATCTGACTCCGGAGGCAGCACATAACTCCCAGATGGCCCTGGCCCCCTCTCTGCCTCCGATGCAAAACCCTCGTCCGAGCCTTCCCCAGAGTCCAGGACTGGCCCATGTTCCTCCCCAACCTCCTCACTGTCTGACTCTGCTGCCAGCTCCGCAAGCCGCCAGCGGACTACAACACTTATAACCCCTTTGTCCTTCATAGAACGCCCCGCAACAGTTGTTTGCAGTTTAGACATCCCACGTCAAACTGTAAGCTATAGAGGTCATTGCCACAAAATGTAGTTTTAGCTTCCAATTTAAGTAGGTATAAAAGGCAATTAGACAAATTTATGTCTGTAGAGGTTCTCAGTCATCCAGGTCATGGTTGTCCTAAAAGTGCTTTTTCAGGAGGCAACTGGATTTTCTTGTTTTTTTCCTTTGAAGACATTTTGTTTCTCATCCAAGAAACTTCTTCAGCTCTGACAGCTCTCTCCATTCCTCACTATCCTGTCAGACCTATGAATGTAGCCCGGTGTCCCCAACTCCTGGGCTGTGGTCCTCTACCAGGCCTTGAGCTATTTGGCCCTGGGCCATGCAAGTGGTGAGTGAGCGTGTGCGTGCACATACATCCCCACTTGCAAGAGTAGCCAGTGAGCGTATGCACACATGCTACATTTGTTTGGTCATTTGGTTGTTGCTCTCGTGGAACCATCTCTCCACCTCCCCTCGCAGGTCTGCAAAGGTTAGGCAACTCTGAGTTAAGCCATGTGGTTGTTGAACTGAGAATCCAAGGTTTTCTAACCTAAATAAAATTACTCGGGTTGGGCATTTCAGAAACTTATATACAGCATTTCTTTCTGGTTGGTCCCACCATTGCCCCTTGTTTCTTTCTTCTCTTAATGACAGGAGCCAACTACAGCAATGTAAGGTTTATTGGTGTCCTAAAACTGGATGCTCGCATCAAGTGGATGAAAGGTCTTCCAACTGGAAAGATCTGAGCTAATTAAGAAGATCTTAGTTCCTCACATTAATCTTGAAATGAACACTGGCACCAGTAATGTTCATGCAATCATATATTCAACCATATATACTGTATTTATGTATGATTTGGGAACTGATCCGGGACTCATTCTCCTTTTTTTCTTTTCTTCTTTTCTTTTTTTCCAGATTGATGCATTAGGCAAAAGAAGCAAAGAAGCAGAAGCCGCGTTCCTAAATGTCTACAAGAGATTAATTGATGTTCCAGGTATGCTGACTTATTGTCCTGTTCCAAAAAAAAAAAAAAAAGCCAGCGTGTTTATAGGCTTTAGTTCCATCGGACATTTTCACCTTTCCCTGGTGTTTGGCTGCAGGATTAAGAGATGTTTCTATTCAACTGTTGCTTTGCCTGAAACACTCTGTGATGCAAGAGTGAAAAAGAGAAGCATGAGTTGTTAAAGAACTGATTCTCTAACTCTGCCAGTTTTTCAGTTCCGTTCAGTTCTTTCAAGGTCAGATTTTTGTAGGATCTGCTGTGAGCATGGATAGCTACATAGCCTTTGAAGATATAAAACACACTGGAAAGTTTATCTAACAATGCACACTTTCATATGCCTCCTTCCAGCTTGTTCCCTCGTCTTGAGATTGACATGATCAGGAAATGTATCTTGAAATAATGAGCCTTGATTCCCTGATGTGGCTTATTATAATTATAAAGCAAGATGTTTTCCTGTGGGTGTTTGGCCTTTATTCCTAGCATTCTACATTCCAAGCTTTTCTCTCTGTCTCTGCTTATAATTCATGTATGGAATGTTCTTAGACCGCTCAGCAGAGCTGCTGCTTGTAAATTCTACTTGTATCCATATCGAGATAAAAGGAATCCATAATGCAAGCATTGAAACGCTATTTAGCGTATTCTACTGTGCCTTTTGCTGCTAGAATTTAAGTGGAATGCATCCATTAATAAATATTATTGTGAAAGGTGTTTTTCTCTCATCGTTTAATTACTTATTCACTGGTGAACTGTAATGTTCGGAAATGCAGATGGTCAGATATGATTTGCCTGGATCCAATCCTTCTAATTGGTGGGGTGGGTTACTATCCTGCTTTCATAGAGGGGAAAATATGTGACTAGAGCATAGATGCACAACAGATATCAACAGGCTCAGACTATGCTGTAATCATCCTACTTAAAATCTGGCTTATGTGTCCTGGGTTTTATAGTCATACATCTGTAAGAAAATTAGGATGAGAAAAAGCTGTCTTAAACCAACTCAACCTTTTTCAGTCTTCCTAGCCCAATAATTTTAGTTACAAGATTCTTTCTTTGGCCTCTTACAGTAAATTAGTAAAGCAAAGCACAAGACTAGGTTTTTTCTCAAACTAGCTTAGAGATGCTTGGGGTTTGAATCCAGGACTTTTTTTAAATAAAAAGCCTGGGTTTGCATATAGAGTCTACAGATGGACTGGCTGGCTACCAAAATACTCTTTCGGATCCTAGAACAGATTCTATGGGAGTCCTTATATATAACTTACTTAATAGCAATAGCACTTAGACTTATATACCGCTTTGCAGTGCTTTTACAGCCCTCTCTAAGCGGTCTTACAGTCAGTCTATTGACCCCAACAATCCGGGTCCTCATTTTACCCACCTCGGAAGGACGGAAGGCTGAATCAAACTTGAGCCTGGTGAGATTCGAACTGCCAAATTGCAGGACGCCAGCAGGGAGCAGAAATAGCCTGCAGTACTGCACTCTAACCACTGCACCACCGTGGCTCTTTAATAAATAACTGAATCCTTGTAATATATGCTGAAATGGAAAGAAGTGACTTTTTAAGAAGAACGTGTCATAATTTATATTAATGACAGGTAGTCCTCACTTAATGACTGGTCGCTTAAAGTTATGATGGACATACCCTTCTCAAAAGCTAATTACGATCCAGTTCGGATGGACACACACAAACACACACACACAAACACACTCCGTGACTGCATTTCAGATGCTTGGCAACCAACTCACCTTTAAGGCTGGTTGCGGTATTCCACAGTTTCAGTTCCCTGGGATCATTTGACTGCCATTTGTGATCTTCCAGCCAGCTTCCAACAAGCAATGTGAATGTGGGAAGCCAGATTTGCTTAACAACAGTGGCAAAAGTTAAAAAAAGGTGCGGTCACATGATGATTCACTTAATGACCAGGCAGCTTAGCGATGGAAGTTCCAGTCCAAATTGTAATCCATAAGTCAAGAACTGTCTGTAATAATAAATGGAGGGAAAAGCCCATTCGCCTACTGGCAAACCAGTTTGGAACAGGAAGTTGTTAAGCATGTTCTTAAGCTACATGTCTTAAGCATGTTAGGCTCTGACATGCACATGATATTGCACCATTTCTCAATTGTTTAAAAGTTTAATATTTATCTCTCCTCTTACCCCACAAATTGGCATTGCTGTAAAAAAATTGATTGGCACTCTTGTGGCAGACTCTGTGGCAGTGAATTCTGATGACTTGATTGAGCATATTTATTTTATGCCTGTGATAGTTGGAGGAAGTTAATTCTGCACATTGTATAAAGTCTTTAACTTTTTCTCTTTTCTGAGAAGCCATTGATATGGCATACTTAAATAAGTACATAAACCAGTGGACTAGAAAGCATTTCTTGTCCCCCCACCTGTTACATTCACCTGATACCCTGCTGAACTGGTAAGGCAGCACTTCATATCTGACACTCTTGTCAATTCATTATTTCATAAAATAAACCAGTAGCGCAACAAATGAATACAATTTGTTGCCAAGTATTGTGACAAAAGGAATAAGGGGTCCCAGACAAGGCTACCCAGGTCTCTGGTTTTAAGACTTTGGAAGCCTTAACAAGCCACTTGTGTCCTTTTAGGTACTTGCATGATAAAGTTTTAGTAAGTCATGAGGCCAGAGCTCCAGTTTCAGCTTTGAAGTATTTTTAGCCGATTTGCTGTTTCTATTCATCTCCATTCTGAGTTTTCTTCTGTTATTGTTGTTCCAAAAAAAAATGTTCTTCCTTATCCCCTTGAGCTATTATTTTCTGACAATGCCATCACTTCAAGGATAAAAAGGTGGCTCTTGAGAAATATCTATTTGACAATACATAGAAACTATTATAATTTGGTTTATGCTGCAGAAGTTGTGGGTGGAGGTTTTTAAGAAGAGATAGGACATCCATTTGTCTAAAATGGTGTAGGCCCTATATGGTATACCATATACCAGCCTGCCTAAAGCAGGGAGGGAGGGAGGGAGTGTGTGAGTGTGAAAGAGAGAGAGAGATCCGATCCAATCTTGGATAGTTACATCAGGGCTGGGGCAGTGTGTGTTCTCCCTCTCTCTCTCTCTCTCTCTCTCTCTCTCTCTCTCTCTCTCTCTCTCTCTCTCTCTCTCCCCCTCCCTCCCTCCCTCTCTCTCTCTCTCTCTCTCTCTCTCACACACACACACACACACACAAAACAGGTTCTGTCTCATACAGGCACCAACCACATGAGTGAGATAGAGTTGGCCATGTTGCCACTTTGCGATAAATAAGTGGGTTTTGGGTTGCAGTTTGGGCACTCAGTCCCTAAAAGATTCGCCATCACAGGTATAGGGTTTCCTGCTTAAGCAGAGGGTTGGACTAGAAGACCTCCAGGGTCCCTTTCAGCTATGTTATTCTGCATTTTCAGTTGCCTTTGTTCAGTTCTAAATAATATAGAAACTGAGCACCTGGTTTAATATGCTTGCAAACCTTTGATAATATTTCATGATGTATTTAGTTTAGTTCAAGGCCTCCTTTTTTGTTTTGGGCAAGCATGATTCTGAACATCCTTGACAACAAAATATCAGTTCCAGGAAGGGTTTATAACCAAAGAGTTTACTAATTTAAAGAGTAACAGAATTCCTCTTTTAGAAAATTTCTACTATTAAACCAGTGTTCTTTACTTCCCTGTTTCCCTGAAAATAAGACCTCCCTGGATAATAAGCCCAACTGAGTTTTTGAGTGCATGTGCTAAAATAAGCCCTCCCCAAAAATATTGCAACACCGCAGCAGCTATGAGGTGACCACGCTCCCCGCCTCCTGCACCTCAAAAATAAAAAACCTCTATGAAAATAAGGCCACGCGTTTATTTCGGGGGTCAAAAGAAAATAAGACCCTGTCTTATTTTCGGGGAAACACAGAAGCTGCCACTCCAGAAAGAAGATCTGTTTTAACAGCCCTCAGGAGTAGATGCAGGGATGAGATAAAACAAAACTAGAATGTTTGAAAAGGTAGAAGTGAGCAATTCTGATCTCCCTGGAAAGAATCAGTGTAGTTTGTATTCATGGGCAAAGAGATGTGTAGCTGGAAAATTTGATGCACCCTAGACAAACTGTAGTTTGATGTAGTGGTTAAGGCCTAAGGCTATAAACCAGACATCCCGTCTTAGGCACAAAGCCTGCTGGGTGTCCTTGGGCCAGTCCCTTTCCTTCAGGCCTAGGAATTGGCAATGGCAAACCAGCTCTGAAAAAGGTTGCTAAAAAAAACTTTAAAAGATTAAAAGATTTAAACCCGATTGACACGAAGGGCGGGAGGAGATCTTGGAAAAACAGTCACACTTCACCTTTACCATCAATACTCTGATGGCGATAAGGTCAAAACAGGATAGGGGATCTGAAACCTTCCCATGGAATTCAGGGGAAAATTATACCAATCTAAGAGTTTGGCATTGCACTTATTATGGGTTATATAACATTTAATCTCCAAGCCTGCCAGCACAGAATGCCCAGAACATCTTCTGATTCTTCACCTCCATGAGCCTGGCAAAGCTTTGAATTTGGCAGTTCCTCCATCATGAATAATCTTCTCTCTCTCTAATCTGGCACAGCCAAGCGGTGAAAATGCACCTTGTTCACAACCCCCCCCCCCCAAAAAAAAACCACCCCTCTCCGGGCAAGGTGGATTCATTAATTTTCTGGGAAATAATTAATGTATCAATTATATCAGGATACATTTGAATATTCAGAAGCCAGAGTGTAATTAGGCTACTTGGTCTGCGGTGCATTTTTATTTGTGGAAGAGTGCAGAAGAGCTTATTATGATAGTGTGTTACGAATTTCCATGCCTGCCTCTCTGTTCCTTAGGATGGTTGTGTAAAGTAAATAAAGCAGAACAATTGTCAGTTGGCCAAAACTGGTGTCCCAGGTCTAATTCTATCCTCTGTTCTGCATCAACATCTCTGGGAATGCCCTGGTAAAGCTTTCCTTTGCTTCTGTCTGTCTGTCTNATTGTTGGGGGCAATTTGCTGACTCTGTAAACCGCTTAGAGAGGGCTGTAAAAGCACTGTAAAGCCAGTGGTGGGATTCATATTTTTTTTACTACTGGTACTGTGGGTGTGGCTTTGTGGGCGTGGCAGGGAAAGGAGCCTGCAAAATCCCCATTCCTTCTCCACCCCACTAACCTGTTTTCCAGCTCCATTTTCCTGGTCAGGGCAACAAAAGACTGGCTATGAGGCTGGGAAGCAGCAGGGGCGGGGCCAGGCTATTTGCCAGCAGGGGCGGGGCCAGCCTATTTGCCGGTTCTCCGAACTACTCAAAATTTTCGCTACTCAGAACTGGCTGAATACCACCTCTGTGTAAAGTGGTATATAAGTCTAAGTGCTATTGCTATTGTTCTTTTTTTAAAAACACATATACCAGTATAACCAGAAACATTACTGGCTGTAGGAGGCTGCAGGACTAAGATAACTTAATCTTGTTCTGTTGTGTAGCACTTCCTTCATTATTAAGTGCCGACTCCCCGGTCTTCCCATTGCCAAGATTTCTTGTGCTGAACTTTGCAAACCTAATTAATCCAATTTTGTTACTTTACATTTGCTCCATGATGGCTCAATTAGAGCAGCATCAGAACTGTGGTTCAGTATCTAGGCCAGCTTTTTGTAATTGGAACCACATTTTCCTTCTGAAGGGCTGCAGCTGGTTTGGTTCTGCTCAGGCAGAAAGAGGATATAACTTTGCATAACATAGGAAATGAACGGTTGAGAGAGAAGCCAAATTCAATTTCAGTCAGATATTTTGAGGATAAGTCCATGATCTATGGAAGCAAAGGGGAATGAGAAGTGTGTGTTTTGTGGAAAGCACTGTCTTTGGCAGTCTATTAATCATGGCCAGTCTGGGCGCTTCTTGTGCTGTTGCATTAGCCCGATTTTGTGTAAAGGGTCTGGAAAGCAGCCAAGCACTCCAGAATTTAACCTCTTCAAGCCACAAAGCTGCGTTTGCTGTGGATTAAACCTAATGGGGCAATTGGGAACATTCTGAATTTTAATAAATAATAGCTAATAAATGTTAAGAGCAGAAGGGGCAGTTCTGAGAAGCACCTGCCGAGCTCACTGATGATTACAAACTGCACCAAATACAGGGTTCTCGACTTACAACATTTAGTGTCGGTTCAAAGTGAGTTGTGGAAAAAGCGAGTTGTGACTGTTTTTCACACTTAATGACCATTGCAGCAGCCCCACGGTCACATGATCAAAATCCAGATGCTTGGCAACTGAACCGTATTTATGACGGTTAGTGTCCCCGAGGTCGTGTGATCATCTTCTGTGACCTGACAAGCAAAGTCAGTGGAGAAGCCAGATTCATTTAACAACCGTGTCACTCACTTCACAATTGCAATGATTCACTTAACAATGGTAGCAGGAAAGGTTGCAAAATGGGGCAAAATTCACTTAACAAGTGTCTCTCGCCTTAGCAACAAAAATTTTGGCCTCTATTGTGGTTGTAAGTTGAGAATTACGTGTAGTGAAAGTCATTGGCTCATAACCAAATTCCAAAGTTTCCATTTAATAAAACTGAAAGGAGTGGTGCGTTGGCCTAGAGGTGGCGCTCTCTCCTCACAATCAGGAGGCTGTGAGTTCATTCCTAGGTAGAGGCAGATATTTCTCTATTTGGGCACACTGAGAATATATCTGCCGAACAAATCTCCGCATTGGCGTCAGGAAGGGCATCTGGCTAGTAAACACTCTGCTAGCTTCATTCAGTTGCCCAGACTCCATCCCGCAAGGGATTATGGGATCTTTAAATGATGATGATGATTTAATAAAACTGAAAGGTTAACCCAAGGATTGTAATTTTCTCATTATAAATTATTCCCAAGATCAAAGAGTGTTCTATTAATGATAACAATTATTTGTTATATAAAATACTTGTCAGGTCTGGAAGCCATCTTTTACATTGGGTCTTCAGACCTGCCACATTTACTACTGTGAGAAAAAGGGAGTGGGGATTATATGGAATATGGGAGATATATAGTCAAAATAACATTCCTTTCTCAGAGAGTCAAGGACATCTTGCCCTGCACCTGGAGCGGTGTAACTGGGAGGCCTCTCCAGTTGGGACAGTGTCTGATTGGGCCACGTGATGGACATGTGGGTGCTAGGCAGGGTTTTGACTTTCATTTGGGTGGGGAAAACCTGGAAGCTTTCAGATTCGGGTTTTCCCAGATGTGCCAATATGGCATCTCTAATAAAATGGAACTTTGAGGAACCTCAAGCCTTGGAGTCTTCTTTCTTTGGGGGTGTTACTTGGAACCCTGACATTACTTTTGACAATATGCTTATTTACAGTATTATAGCATTTTATAAAATCATTGGAAAATCTGAAGACTGAGGAACATCAGTTTGTAGATGATCTTTTTGATTTAGGGAATGAGTCTCGATTGGGTAATGGTATATGAGAAAGACCTTGGGAGAGTGGTTAGGAGACCTTGGCAGGGGAACCACCAGCTAAGAGACAGCATAGGTGACAGCTGGATAATGGATAGTGAGT